GCAGAGGGCAACTCAGATTCTCATAAGACCATTCATTCAGACTCTCCCTTCCTTCCATTCCTGCCTGTTCTGATAGTGATGACAAAGACACCCCCAACCAGCATTCTCACAGGATTTTTTAATCCCATTTTTATGGTTGAGGAAGAAACAGGTATGAGAAGTTCAGTAAGTACCCTGAATCACACAGCCGTGAACAATGGCGCTATTACCAAGCCACCTGTCTGTCAGGGACGGGCCTCCTCCATTGCTGTCTGCCAGCCCTGGGCTCACATTAGAAAGGACACCAGGGCCCGGGTGGTGCTCCGCGGCCATGCAGTGCTCTGCGAGGCTTACCCGCGTGGGAAGGTCCTGAGTCTCTGTCTCTGTCTTTTTCATTCATGGAAGAAATAAAAATACAACTTTTTAAAGGACATCATCTGTGTAAGGACTGGGACCACAAGAGTGCCTCCTATGAGCTGGGCACACGCCTTCCTGGGGATGCTTGCTGTGAGAGCTGGCATGTCCTCATGCAGCCGCCGCCTCACAGTCCGCTGGAGGTGGACCTTCCTGTGTAGCTGCCCAGATCTTATCTCCAGAGATGCCACAACTGTCTTCATCACAGTTCTTTTTTCTCAAGAACCTTTGTTTCCTGTTGCTTTTTAGATGAATTCTCCTTCCTTTCTTTAGCATTCTGAGTCTGCCTTTAATCCTCCCCCTTTCCCCAGCTTCTCTCCAGAAACTTCACTTTTCTCTCCAGAGACTTCGCTTTCAGCCCTGGGGGCCCTGCCTGGCTACTCCACTATGGGAGTGAGAGCGTTAGAGACCCACCCTGCTCCTCGGAGCCTTGGGCTGTATCTTAATGTACAGCGCTGAGGAACCTTCCAAGACAACCCACCCCAGGAAACTGCATTCATGCACTGTGTCCCCTCAGCCATGTTCTCTATGAGAGCAGCAAGATGAGGGAGTTTGGATGTGGACTGTGGGACGTTAGGTTTGTGTTTGGGGATGTGTTACTCGTGGCAGCCCCCCGAATAGGATTTGCTTTTCCTAGCTCACTTGCAATCATTTTGAAGACACAAACCAATCTCCTAGTTCCGTAAGTACCTGAAAAGAGTACATTTGTGTTAACATGACAATCGGTTAATGTCTAATCTCTCACTTACCAGGCTTCTAGTTTCTTAATATTCTGAAAATTTTCACTCTCATTTACAAAAACATCAAATTCTAATCATCAGAAAATGAACCCCCCCACACCCCAGCTCACAGCAGTTGCAAGTTGCACTCTTAAACTCACTTCTTAATCCATTTCAGGGTTCCCAATTGTTCCCAGTTAATTCTTCTTACCCAGGGTGTATTACACTTGCTCAGCCTTGAATGATATGGAAAGAATGGCCTTTCTTTACTGCATAACTGACTTTACTTTTGTTCATAGGTTGAAATCGGCCCTTCCATTTCACTGCAGCATTATATTGGTGGCATTTTTACTTAGGGGGAAAAAAAGCTTTCTTCCACACGAACTTTTGTTACAAATCAGTTTATTGGGGCCAGTCAATGGGCAAGACCTATGAAAGGGTGTGGATTATCTGGTTCGTCCTTTGTGTGGCAAAAGGCTTAGATGCTGCTTAGTATCTGCTCATTCTTCATCATGTAAAGCAGTGGGTTTTGAAGGATCAACACCTTACTGAGCCCTGCCTTTTTCATGGAAATGTTTTCACCTGAGTTGCTTCTTATGGTACGAAGAATTAGTTAACTAATACTTATTTAACCTTGGAACAATGTTTATCGTAATCCGATTGGCAGATAGTCATTTTATTTAGGCCTTTGCTTTATAGCATCAGGACTAGAGATCTCAGCCAAGAATATGCTGAGAGCTTTTCTTCCCCATATAAGTTATCACTTTACTTTTTTTCTTTCTGGCAAGGGGTATGTTTGGGCCCTGTGGACTTAAGACCAGTTGCCCAGCATTGCCCAGGTGGACTGCCTCTCTTGGGTGGAGTACAACCTGCATCCCCCTTTCACGCCGCTGGCAGCTTTTCCCTTCATATGACATCCAGTGTGATTTGTTGTGTTAATACTTTCAAAGGTGTTTTGTTTTTTTTTCTTGTGATAAAGCTTCCTTGTGAGCATTACCACTAATTAATACAAAATGACCCAGTGCAGTTTAATTATTTGGTAATGTTTTTTCAGTGTTTTCTTAAAGATGATGCTTTACAAGTCAAGGCCTGAACTTGCCTGGGTCATGACCTCTTTGCAGTGGCTGCAGTCTTGTTAAACAAGAAGAAAAGCAAAACATAAATTAGCGTCTCCATTATAAGTTGCCCTGCATTTCCCAACCTTTCAGCGCTTTGAAGAGCATAGTCACTGTTAATGCAAGAGGAAATTTCACTAGGAACATGGCCCTGATTTAAAGTTCAGCTGTCTGGGCTGAGTAAGAACATCTTCCCCAGTGTCGCTCGTCTACAGCCAATGTTGACCTCCACGAGGAAGGAGCAAGATGAGGGAGTTGAATTAGGAGATATGGGACATTAAAAATTTCAAGAGAGGGACCAGCAGGTAGCATAGTGGTTGAGGACCTAGAGTCTCACATGGCTGATTGCGGTTCAAGTCTTGGACCTGGCAGCTTGCTTCCTCATTTTCTCTCTCTCTTTCTCTCTCTCTCACTCTGTCTCTGTCTCACTCTGGTCAGATTAAAACAAAATAATAATAATAATAAATTAAATTAAATAATTTTTTTTAAATGCAGGAGAAGCAGAAGGATGTTACCTTTCATCATAATGATGTGGGCTCTGGCCGGTTAGCCTTCAGGGATATGTTCCCAAGTTTACCATTAAATTCAGTGTTAAAAAATACTTCAAGGGACAAGCCTTAGCCTGATGCTTAAGGGAACCAGATCCTACGTGATCGGCCAAGCATTTTAAATCCTGGACCTGGCGGCTTGAAAAATATGCCAGGCACATGTGCATGCATGCCCCAAATCCCAAAAGGATAGAGAAATGGGAGAGAAAGGATTGAGGTGTGATCAGGCCCCACTGTGGGATTCTTTCCCTCTCTCTCTTTCTCTGTTTCTCTCTGGTAAGCACACATGCATTCTGGCAATTAAAGAAGACATATCTATGGACCTCGTATATATCATAAATCTAGTGACAGAAGCATAGTTTATTCCTCTTCTGTTTTCCTAGTGAATACTTTTTATAAATTAAATCTGAAGTATTTTTTAATATTTTATTTATTATTATTATTATTTTAATTTGCTATAGGGCATATGTGCTCCCCAGAGAGAGAGAAAGAAAGGGAAAGTGAGAAAGCAAACCACCGGGTCCAGGACTCAAACCGTCAGCTATGTGGGAGTTCAACACCTTAACCACCATGCCATCTGCTGGCCCCTTGGATTTTTTTTAATGTGTTTTTCTTCATGAATACTGTTATTGGGTCATCAGAAAAGTCATGATGTATTTTTCTATGTTTTTCTATGCAAAAATACATCATGACTTTTCAGACAACCCAATAGTATATGACTTGGGCCTGTGTCAGGTTTCCAATTTTTGCTCCATCATTAAAGGCAATTAGTTATTTGCCTTTGAACAAATTACTTATATCCGTGAGACTCAAAACTTCACCAGTTAAATGGGGATCATACTAGCACTTAATTTCTCATAATTAAAGAGATTGATCTGAAAAGGTACCATACTACAAACAGGTTAAGTGGAAATTTTCATGTGAGATATCCAGACCCCTAACCCCATGGATTCCTGGTTTCCTGGCAACTAGGTTTTTGTTTTGTTTTGTTTTGTTGAGAGCTTTTTGTTATAGGGTGCGTGCACTTGCCAGAAAGACAGAGAGAGAGAGAAAGCAAGAAGTCTCCCCCCAGGGGGGATGGCCACACTGCAATCCCTTCTCCTCCGTTCTCCTCTTGGGATTTGGGAACGCACACACATGTGCCTGGTGTGAGTTTAAGCTACCGGATCCAAGACTTGAACCGCAGTCAACTACATGGGAGTCCAGCGATATATCCATTACGCCAACTGCTGGTCCCAAGGCAACTAGGTTTTATAGCCATCAGGAAGATGAGGAGGATTCTCCTCTTGGAAAAATATACACATTCAGGACAGAATGGCAAAATGGAGGAGAAGGGATTGTGACATGACCACATCCCACTGAGAGATGCTTTCTCTCCCTCTCTCTGTCTGTCTTTCTCTCTGGTGAGTGCATGCAATTGAAAATAAATGAGAAAAAGAAAACATTTGAAGAGAAAATGAAGCAAGTAAATACAAGAAGAAAAGCTAAAAATTGAAAATAGTTGCCTCTGGCAAGTGGGAATAAGGAATGGTAGCATCCTTTTAAATGTTTTTGGGATGCCGGCAGGTAGCGTGGTGATTACGGACACTGGACTCCCACATGGCCGACGGTGGTTTGAGTCCTGGACCTGACAACTTGCTTTCTCACTTTTCCTTTCTCTCACTCTCACTCTCTGTCCTTCTCTGATCAAATTTAAATAAGTAAATAAAGTTAAATGAAAAATAATTGTTTTTAAAAACTTTTTTTATTTTTTAACTAAAGATGAAATTTTAAAATATTAAATGAGACAGATATGTAAAGCACTTAGCACTCACTTATTGCAGTTAAGCGTTGCCCAGCTTTATCCTTGCCCAACTTTTCTAAAAAGTGTAAGAAAGCCCTTGCTAACCCAGCGACTTCGACTTTCCATTCATTCATTTTGCCACCACACGCGTGCTTGGCTGGTTCAGAGGAAGGGACCCCACAGGTACACATCAGTATCTCTCCGCTTGATGTGCGGATCTCCCCGATTTCCTAATCCACTGTCTCACCTTCGGCATGAGAAGGAACTGTCCTTTTTGTAGATAATCGTGAGCAAAGTCCTGAATTTTTTTCCTCTCTTTTGCCTAATCATTTGCATTTCCATGATTAAAGAAATGGATCTTGCACATGTTCTTGAGGCTTACCCTAGTTTCCTAATGAGTCTCATTCTGTGCGTTTTAACACGTTTCTCTCTCTACAATCAGGGGCGCAAGCTTCTTATCATTGGGACCACCAGCCGCAAAGATGTCCTTCAGGAGATGGAAATGCTTAACGCTTTCAGCACCACCATCCATGTGCCCAACATCGCCACAGGGGAGCAGCTGCTGGAAGCTTTGGAGGTAAAAATGCACTGTTCGTAAGAAAGGGGTTGAGGCTAGAAATCGCACGAAGGGGTACCACAGCTGTTCCACCTGGCATTTGGTTTCTCTGCTAACCTGCAACATGGGGGCCTGGGGTGTTTATTACCTCTGATTCTTTTCAGGAATTAGAGGAAAAGGATACCTAAAAGTGAGTGAATGAACTTCCTCTTCCTAGCATGGGCAGTACACAGTCTGCCAGGGATGAATTGCTCTGTGTCCAGCACGAGTGACGCAGACAGGTTACATGGGCCTGTACGCGTCCGTGGGTGGTCTCGTGTCGGGGCAGGCTCATCACTAGGTAGAAAAAATAGCCATTCATGGTGGCTTTGGGCACATTTCCTTGCATTTAATGAATTGGAACTATGATTAAAATCTGACAAACTTTTAAAAAGCTACAGAATTAAAAGGAACTTTATTAAAAGTTGATCATACAGAAATGTTTTCTTAAATTGTTTGATGATGACAAAGTCTTTAATTTTTAAAAGGGCATCTTCTTTATTAAAGTTTTGATTAAGATCGTGTTCACAGAAGACTTGCTATGTTGGAAAAATCATCTAGCGAATTGTTCAGCAGTTGTGGAATCAGCAAACCCTTAGGCCCCATAGAGTCGGTGCATGCTCCCATCAAAATAGAAATTATCTACATGATAAATGTTTCCAGGTTACCCAGTTTTTGTGCCAGGGCTGGGTAAGAAAGCTAAATTAAGTCTGCTTTGACATATATAGATCATTCTTAGAAAAGAATGTTAAAATGTTTTAACTCATATTTATTATGGATTGGAGCTTTTTCTTTTCTTTCTTTCTTTTCTTTTTTCTTTTTTTCTTTCTTTTTTTTTTTTTTTTTTTTTGACCAAAATATTCTCTAAAGTCTCATG